GAAGGGAGGGGCGGGGTCCCGGGCGGGCTGGCCCCGCCCACTCGAGACGGCGCGCGCACACGTGGCCTGGGTGGGGGTGGGATAAGCTCCAGCACGGTTCGCGCCCTGCATTTCCGCTTTCCCGCCTCGCCCCGCCCCGATTGAGAGCCACAAGTTGAGCAAAGGCTGCGTGCTTGGGTCATTCACTACGAAATTTGTCCTGCTGGAGGAAAGGAGGAGCGGAAAATTTAAGACTTAAGTTAGATCAAATAAGGATATTCCAGGTCGGGGAAACCTTACGACAGTTAAGAGACTAGCCTGACCTCTGGGTCTCCACTCCCTACCCACACGTGACCTAATTCCTGCAACCACCCGGCTGTCGCAATTCCCCCGGGATCCGCCCCTGGGCGGAGCTGACGGCAGGAGACTGCCAGAGAACAGACGGAGGGAGCGGAGTGGAATCCGGTTCCGTGTTTTGTTTCGGTTCCTCCCCCCGCAGTGCGTTTGCATCCTATTAGGCGACGTCACCGGGCCGCAGGCCAATGGGCGGGCAGGACAACACGGCATGGAGCAGCTCCACATGGACACCCCGCGCCGCCAGCCCACTGTTTAAAGGGCCAGTGTCTGGCAGGGTCACATTCGCGGGTACGGCTGGGGTCACTCTGTGGCGGGTGGGAGGCCGAGAGGAAAATTCTGGAGTCGTGCCCTAACCTACCCTTTACTTTTCACTACTCTCCCTTTAAAAACAAATCTCTTTTCTTTCCTTCCCCGAAACTTTTGTTTGTCCACGCGTGTCTGATGCAGGTGGAGACTCCAACTGTGCCACCCCAGAGGCCGCCCTTTGCTCGGGGGCCGGACCGGGGGCGGTTAAGGCGAGGCATCCACAACCCAGACCAAGGAGGCGTGGCGCAAATCGGGAACAACAACGTGGAGGGCGGAAGCCCAGCCCGCCCAGTGGCTGGGCAGCTGGGGCCGCGGCGGGGAGCGGGGGCGGGGCCACTCTGCCCAGCCACAATCGCGCTCGCCGCGAGGGCGGAGACCCAGAGCTGGCCCTCCATACGGCCGCTTCTTGCGCTGGCGTGTGGGGGCGCCTGGAGGTACAATCGGAAAATTAGACCTTTGAGGTCAGCTTGCCCAAATACTCTCATTTTGCAGATAAGGAAACTGAGGCCCAGAGACGAGAAAGGACTTGCCTAAGGTCACTCAGTGTTCAGCTGCTCCTCGCCCTGTAGGGAGAAGCATTATCCCACTGGTGACTCTTTTTAAGGCATTTCTGCGGCAGGATCCCCAGTTAGAAAAAAATCTTGGAAGAGTATCAAACTGCTCACACGGAAAGGGTTCTGGCCACTTAACATATCGTGATGTGGTGGGGCACCAAAATCTTTACCTGAAACTTTGCTGTACTGCTTTTTCGGTGGCGGCCACACAAACCCCACTGGTACAGTTGGTAGTGACAGGCACAGGCTGGCTGAAGGCATATTTGGGGCACCCTGGAGCATGTCCAGCTCTGCTTGTCCCAGTGCCAGCAGGTCTAAGGCCCCTGAGTCTGGGCCCCAGATAATTTTCTTTGCTGACCAGTTCTAACAGAGTGGGACAGCGCCAGTTGGGTTAAGGATCTTGTTGCCTTGGGGGGCTTCAGTATTATACAGAGCATGAGGATGGATGAATGGCCGACCAGCCTGCCAATTCATCCCACCCTCACTGTGTCCTTTGAGGGGTATGCTCCTATTTGGAGAGGACAGCTAGACATATAGAAATCTGGTACAAATGATGCTAGCTGGATTTGTGCCTTTCCTTTGAGGGCATAGCCCATCCCAGGGAAAGAAAATCTGCACAGATCCTGGAAATCGAGAACCTAGTGAACAGAAGGAAGGGTGTTGTTTCCAGCACCAGTCTACAGAGGGCGCTGATCTTTGCACTCTTAGCCCCAGCATCTGTAGCTGAGGCTAGAGTCCATTATACACAAATGACCAGGTGCCACTGGGTTAGCTTATGATGAAGCTGAGAAACAACGGGGGGATCAGAGCATAACAACCAAGTTCTTTTCCTTGGAAAGATCTGTACTGGTCCCAAGATTGCTTCCTTTAAGGTGTCTGCCACCTGTTGTTACCAGTGTGGTTGGACCTGGACCCACTACACAAGCAAAGAAAATGGGAAGTTTAAATTTAACTTAAAACCTATATATCACCATGACTTGAGATAATGTTGATGACCAAGTTCTCATTTTGTTAGGGGTCGACACCATACCATACTGGCCAGTGGCCCAGGATGCTCAGAGGGCTAACTCCAGCTGTACCCTTCTGCCTTCCTCAAGTGGTCATGGCACTCGTACAGCCCTGAAGTCTCTTCTAAGAGACTGAAGTCCAATTCTTCTGACTTGTCCTGTCAGGGACCAGCTGTATCACATCACGAAGGCACCCCTCTGAAAAGTAGTATTCTGAAGACAGCTTTTCCTTCAGAGTTGGGGAAGGAGATAAAAGTGGAGTGAACACAGAATTCAAATGCCAGCCTTTCGCTTGCCCCCAATAGCCCATCTGCTCTAGAGCTTAGTGGAGATGCTCGCTATTTAAAACAAACAGCCTTCCTGGCTTCACATGATCATCTATTTATTTGGGTCATGTGGGGACACCAGCCAGGGGATGTTAGGCAAAAGAAAGGGTTTAGAAAGGAGGCTTTTCCTGGGCTTGTTGCTGCCTACAGGAGCCTGAAAATGGCCAGAGTTTCTCATCAAGTGTCCTCTGTTGGGGAATGGACAATGGAGGTAGGAGATACCTGTGAGGCGGAAAGGGGGAGGATAAAAGTGGAGGAATGAATAGGAGGGTGATTTAACAGTTTAGCCAGCTTCCTCTTCCAAGGGGGTGGACCTGGGGTAGAAGCTGCCAACTGTTACATTCATTCAAGAGAAAGTCTTTTTGATGTTTCAGCAGAAAGGTTAGTATGTTTTGGAAATAATCCAAAGCCCAGCCATTTCCAAAAAGTTGTTCCTAAAGTTTCTTTATAGCTTCTAGTGCTCAGTACCTTTGGGATAGGAGGAAAACTGGCCTGTCTGACATGGTGTAATTCTCATGAGAGGATTTCTATTTCCACACTTCCTCCTCATGTCTTGTGCACCCCAAAGCCCAGTTCAACCCCCTCAACTTTTTTAATATGCTGAGCTAGTGACATTCTCTAATGAGACTGTCTCCTATCACCCCACCATTCACCCTGACAAAGCGCTACATATATATATACAACTAAGGGCTATGAAGATCAGTTCCTGGACCCTACAAAGCATCAGTAATAAGATGTAGGAAAGGTGTGAAGCCAAAGTACAGGTATACCAGATCCCAGATGCCCTAACCCTTCAGGCCTGAGCTCTCAAATTCTACAAGTGGTCCTGGGAGCTTTCCACCTATTGTAGTTAAAACAAGACCAAAGGGAAAAAGTCAGCTATGAGATGACGAGGGACAGAAGACTAGTACACTCGGACACACCATACAACATTCATTTCACAAATATTTAGTGTGTGCCAAACATGTGCCAGACACGGGGCTAGCTATCCTTGTAGCCAAGGCCAGGTGACCTTTGGTAAGCCGCAGTGGGGTAAAAGGTCACAGAGTAGAACTCAATTCCACAGGGATACCTGGAAAAGGTAAGCTTTGCTCTCTCTCACCATGCTGGATGGAGCACAAGAGATCACAGGACTACGCAAAGACCTGTAAGGGTACTGATTCTAAAATGAGTATTCATTTTAGAAAGTTAGATTCCCAGATAATCATACTTTTCTAATAAGGGAATTCAGTGAATTGAAGGCTGCGTGAGCCAGCTGAAGCTGATTCCTGACAAGCTCAGTCTGAATGATGAGCAGGATTCTGAGTTACTTTGATAGAGGTGTATCTGATAGGGTAGAAATTCAATCATCAGTAAAGTTGGCTTCCCGCAGCTGGGAGCTTTCATCCAAGTCTTTGCCTACCTGTCTCTACTCTTGGTGAGTTGTCAGAGGGCCTCTCCTGAACCTATGAAACAGATACAGTCAAGTTCAACCTTCCCATTCATGTGCTTTCTCCTCTTCATTGCCTCAAACAGTGTCTGTTGCACCTGGAAGAGCTGAGCTCACCTAGACCAATCTCCCAAGAGGTGTTTTATCCTCGGTCACAAAGCTGCTTAGTGTCAGCTGAGATGAGAAGCGGCCTGGCTCTTCTCTGTATGGGAGAGCCCAGCCTGGGGAAGAGGGTCCACGGTCTGTGAAAACCTCACAGAAATGGCTGATGGTGGGGAGCTGGTTGAAGATAGAAATAATCGTTAACTTTGCTTAGTGGCGCCCAATAAATAAGCTTAGCAGGTGAGTAAGAAGGCAAGGAAAGAGAATCAAACTCAGGATCCAGGGATTCA